CACTTAGTGACACCTGGTGTGGGAATGCCACTGAATTTGGGCACTCGGTATCTAAAAGGTTTGCCATCACTGCCCTATGACATTCATGGTGTTGGCATATGTTGACAGGTGACTTGAAGGCCTAAAGAAGGTACATGATATATTTTATATTAACAGTTTACCTTTTTTATATTATTACCTTTTATATTAACGGTTTACTTTTCATTTCCTGAAGCTGTACCTTTAGGTTCACTCACACACTGTACTTTCTATCAATCCCATTTCAAGTTGAGAAAAATCTGATTCAATACAACTAGTAGCTATGAAGGAACTAGACAAGATCCTGAAGTGTCAAGATATTAAATACTAAATTTATGATTGTTCATGCTATCATATTTCCTATTTCTATGTATGGTTGTGAAATCTGGACAGTGAAGAAAATCTAGAAAAGAGTTCCACAGATACTGTGAACTCCTAAAAAGACAAATAAATAGGTCTCCAGAGCAAATCAATCTCTCCTTATAAGCCAGGATGATTAAACTCAGACTACTGTATTTTGGACATATCATGAGAAAAAAGACCTCACTAGAAAAGACAATAATGCTTGGCAAGGTGGGCAGCGAGAAAAGAGGAAGACTACTGTACAGGTGGATAGTCTCAATCATGGAAGCCACAGTCCTGAATTTACCTGAGTAAGACTGCAGGACTCTCATTTATGGAGTCGCCATAAACAAAGTCAACTTGACAGCAGTTAACAACAACAATTAGTGATGGAACTAAAATGTATTGGATCCATAGAAACAGAACTCTTTCATGAAAGAGAATATGAAAATTTTTGAATCAGATTTATTTCAGTCTAACATTAAATTAAGGAGCACCCTCCATGACCTCAGTGGGAAAAGATTAAACTCTGATGGAGATAGATGACTGGATGCCCATAGCACATCATGAACGTTTTGTTTCTAAATTCAATGCATCAACAGTTTTTAGTGCCTTCCATGCTTAAGTTTATATAAACAATGTAAAGGAAGTACATGATGTAAACATTTTAAGTGTTCTAATAAAAATAATAAAGGCTGGCATTCAGTATTGCAGTTATCGTGGTTGATCAGGGTTCAAATCCTTGCTTGGCCATAGAAACTGACTGGGTGACTTTAGGTAAGTCACTCTCTCAGCCTCAAAGGAAGGCAATGGCAAACCTCCTCTGAATAAATTTTGCCAAGAAAACCCCATGATATAGGAAAGTACAGCATTATCCAAAATCCACAAAACAGTGATACCTTTATTGGGCCAACCAAAATGTACATTATACACATTGCAAGTTTTTGAAGCTCCATTGGCTTCTTCATCACACAAAGGTTTTTAAAATGCAAGAGAGGGAAAGAAAAATGACGATGTTAGTCATAGCTCTGCATTTGGCCAAAATGTTGTAGCTGTAGTCTTTAGTTCAGATGGTATGAAAAGGTACTCATGCA